TCTTCCTTCCCTTTGTTGCAATCGTCAGAGGAGAGAGAGAGAGAGCTTCGGAGGCCATTCTTGAACAGCGAACGCAGCCACTTTACGCGAGGGAGTATTAATTTATGAGACATTTTTAATATTTTTCTTTGGCCTCGCGGAAAAGGATGCCGCGCGCGCGCGCGAGCAAGCGAAATTCTTGCGTCGACGGGAATTTTCCCGTATTGCTCTTGGCACGTCGAATATTTCCGAGAAAATTCGCGATATTTAAGAAATTGTTTCGTCCTTACGTCGAGGAAGGGCGCGAATCCGGACTTACTTTTGAATTCTTCATATTTTCATCCTTTGAAGGATCGAAGATATCTGAACGAAATAGTTTCTCCCTTCTTATCGTATCGAAAAGATTAAAAATGTTTCGGTAAATATAGGAAGAATAATTTTGATCCCTCTTCTATGCATTAATAAGCAATGAAAAATTCGATGTACTTACGCCGGGAGTGCTAGCTTGAGGCCCGAACGGGTATCTCGTCCAATCCAGTTTCTCCTCTGTCGTCGTGTCCAAGAGAACAACTGCAATGAAAAATAAAACGCGATTTGAGTACATGATTGTCGCGAAACAATAACTTGTATTATATCTGCCGTAGTAATATTACTTTTTTTTTCTCGCTTTTCTTTTTGGACAAATTGTAAAATTAATAAATTTATTTAATTTTACAAAAAAGAGTAATTTTTCAAAGAGAGAGTATCAAAAGTTTTTTTCTTTTATATTTTTATCTGCTTTTATAACGTGTGGTCCTTTTAATTGCATTGTTATGCAGTCGCAACATATCTCTCGCAAATATAATTACACACCATGTATAAATATTATATAACACGATGTGTGACGCACAAAATTAACACGTTCAGATTGACAAAGAGCTGATCGTGATAAAGACAACAAGTGCATGTCGAAGTCATTGTGAGGAAGTCGATCTGTCGAAGGGAGATGGGAGCAAGCTACCTCTCAAAATGGCGGACCGTCGAGAGCGCATTGCGAGGGGTGAAAAAAATATTGGGAGGCAAAGAGAGAGAGAGAGAGAGAGAGAAAGAGAAAGAGAGAGTGAGATACATAGAAAGACAGGCACAGACGGTCGGAAAAAAGAAACGAAAAGATCTCGTTGCGTATCGGGTGCATACACGTTAGGGGACCAGGTTGCGCGCCGTGTCCTGCATCGCGTCGTGGTAGAGGTAGAGGTGGCGACTGTGATGTTGGTGGTAGTAGTCGTATCGACCGGGTCTGGGCTGCTACCAACCCTCGACTCTCCTCTCTGCCTCTTCGTTTCGTCGATCCGTTCCTGCTCTTCTCGCCTCTCTTCTACGCGCTCAGCGCATTCCTCTCTTCCTCCGTTCATTCGTCTTTCTTCTTTTCGCGTCGCGTTCTTTGTATCTCTTGCGCCTTTCCCCTCTTCAGCTTTGGCACTCGTCCGTCCTTCCTTCCTGCATCCTCCTCCTCATCTTGCCGTTATAATGCTCCTTTTCTGCTTTCTCTCTCTCTCTCTCTCTCTCTCTCTTTCTATCTGTCGTTATTTCGCTTCCCTCTTCGTTCTCATCCATTTCGCGATATTCGTCCGAATATCGAACCGAGCTGGCCACGTTGCCACCTCCAACAACTAGCGTCCTCATGAATTCTCTACGTAGACCTCAGGTCCTTGAATTTCTAGGCTAAAGCGCCCCAACCGATGTGGATGCAACACGCCCATCTATCCATCCGTCCCGACACCGGATGGAATCTCAAAGGTGAAACCTGTGCGCTGTAAAATCTATCCGATCTTTTTATCTGTCCCTTCTTTCCTCCTTCCTCATAGTTCTATTTCCTCGCCTCTTATCGATCTCCTATCCCATCGATCGTTTCGACAGAAGCACTTGCGCGAACTGCGATTATCTCGCTACATCCAGACCGGAGATACATATGCGGAGTGAGATGCGAGCAACATATTTTTAAAAAATATTGCATCAAAAAATATCATAGCAATAAAAAAAAATATTGTAATTTCGAGATTATCTAATCTGAGAATTTAATCCAAGTTGCAAAATGAAATATCTGTTTTGTCTGCAATATTTTGTGACAATTTTTATTCTTCGTCTAAATAAAGAGAAAAGTACGTTTTAAATAAAGAGATAAATGTGTTCGAAAATCTCGTGCCCATCAAAAAAGTCAGTTTGCAAAGACGAAAAGGCTTTACGGGATATGTACATTTTGGAATGCGAGTATTTGATAAGGGCGAGCATCGGTATCGCGAAGGGATACTCCATTTTAAGCCGTAGGATCAGTTGCCCTGTAAGCCGTCTCATTGTGAAGAGTATCTCGTAGTGGAGTTTGCGATGCAAGCGTGCCGGTCTAATTCGAGTGCTCTCGTGAAGAACTTGGGATATATAGGCACGCGCTTCCGCAACCGAATTCACGGACTAAGATCTGCGCGAGAGAGTTCTCTTCCCCTTCTCCATCGCTCTTCTATCACTCCTAATAAACTCCGCGGAAAGCCTTAGCGGATTGACCTCAGGATTATTCGCCGACGCCGAGATGAGATTTACTCTCGCCGAATATCCGACGAATTCTCAATCCGCGGCTTGATAATCGCGTTTCTTCAAATTTGCATTTTAAACGACGCTATTTATATTTTCATCGCGAGAGATATTTATCTCCCGCAAGCCGGATATACAAAGAGATATAAAATGAATTATGGGATGACAAACTCTCCTCAAATCGATTTGATATTCCGAAGCAACGCAAACGAACTTGAGCCATGTAAGAAAGAGTCGTGTCTCTAGAAATTATGTGTATCGAGCTTACTCTAGGATAGCTATATATCGTCAATCTATATATGTACAATGTACATGGCTGTTAGATGCTCTGTACCAGTTGTGTGTAGTGTATATATATAATTCTGGGATAATAGATAACTATAGTTTCTCTGCTATATAGATGACCGCAAAAAGAACGTACTAAAGTATCCAGTAATAATTTCAACGAATACGGTTACGGAAATAATTTCAATTGATTACTAGGATGTTTTAGTAACTATTCAACTGTATCGTTAAAACGACCATTAAAGGAACCGCAAGTGTGCTATTTTCTTGAATGGCTACAAAAAATTCCTCGCACTTCCTTTATCCACGATCAGTTTTAACGGTCAATTTGGAGTCAATCTTCCTTTACCAAAAATTTAGTAAAAAAAAAAAAAAGATGATTACATGTGAAATACGAACTCGTATAGTGCGTACATAATTCCTACTCCAGCGGTCGGCGACCTCGTACGATTATCATAAACAAACAATGTTTATGTTATTCGGATAATTTTCCTATGATAAGAAGATATTCGTGTAGCCCATCGTTTTCGTATTTTGCGTGGATCTGATTTAGATCTTTCGTACGATATCATATGATATCTTATATATATGTAAGAAATATCTGTGCAAATATCTGTGTCTACAGTTCGTTCTAGTCTTAACATCATCTAAATTTTTCTAGGAAAACGAGCTTATTTCTTGTAACTTAAAAAAAATCTTTTTTTATCTTAAAAAGAAACTTAGCTTAAATTGGTTAAAAAGCATATATAAAATAAAAGAAAAATAATTTTTGGGGAATTTTTAAAATACGTTCCATACATCTCTCGTTTATGTGTATATTTTTTCTTACTGTGATTTATATTTTAATACATCTTGATTTATATACTTTAGATCTTATCTTTCGAGGGTTCATTTTAAGACCCACATAAATTCTTTAAGACTTTCTACTAATACCGCTACATCGTAAAATTAACGTATCGCAAGTGTGTGTGATATCACGAGGAAAAAATAATCGCGTAATGGTACGATTCAAGGATTTCGTGCTAGTCGGCTGCATCATCTCCCATGCAATCATCGATGGGAAAAGAGAAAGTGCAGCCATCCCGCCGGTACGAGACGGCCGGTGCAGTCGCTACGCATCGTGCGTGCGACACGTGCATTATGCGCCTCCGTTCGTCGGACACGTGTCACGTGACGCGAAGCACTCGCGGCGTGTGTCGTCGTGGAATGTCGAGGATCGGAGCGAGACAAGAACGAGAGAAGGGAACGAGAGAAATTACGTTCGAACGGATGAGCTCCTCTCCCGTGTCTTAGATTGACCGTAACCGAGGAAAAGGCGATTACGCGTGTTCGGTAAAAGTTTGCGGCTAAACGAACAGGAAGAGAAAATGACGTCGCGGCGCTCATCTCGCGGCCAATGCCAGCGATATAACTGTTATTTTGCAAAACATTATGTGGTTACCGTGTGATACCATGTAAGTTTATCGTAATGGAATCGTCGTTTAAGTTCAACGTGTATATATCAGATAATTTTGCATTATATTAGAAAAATTTTATGCAACAGTATAGAGGAACTGAGAAAGTAATCGATAAGTATGTTTCTTTTAATCGCTTGCATCCGTTTTTCAATAAATATCGAGATTATGAATTATTATTAATTCGTGCGTTTACGAATCATTTTTTTAAGCATCATTCAATCGATCCTAGAAGCTTTTTTTCGTATAAAGTTACTTCTTTGAGAACAAAATAACCGTGTTTGACAGTAGCTGCGATAGTCGAGATTCAAAGTGAAAGAGCACGTACGGATTTTTGGTTGACATCCGAAAAACAAGCTCTCTCTGAAAGAGCGTCCTTTCGCCCGAATTCAACGCAATCGTGAATCGACAGCGACAAGCAGACAAGACAATCATACACGACTCGAGACAACTTTACCAGTCGCGGGAGGAAGAGAGAGAGAGAGAGAGGAGGGCAAACGCAGGAGGTGAAAGGACACGGCGCAGGGTCTGTCTCGAATTACTATTCCCGCGTGTGTTCACCGACGAGCGGAAACGACTTAACGGGCACAGGTCGGTGAAAACGACATCCTTCCTCTCTCTCTCTTCCTTTCGCTCCATTCCATCTTGCTCTTGCAAATATTCTGATTCGTTCAGGTTGCACAGGATATTCCAGACAGCTTCAACATTTACGAATAGTCTGCATCAATATTAAAAACCTTTTCTCGAGGAAAATCTTATTAGGTGCTATATTTTTTCATAATGTCTTTAACTTGAAATATATTAATATATTTTATATTTTAATATTATTTGTCAAACAAAACTATTATTAAATAAAAAAGCATTTGAAATTAAATAAAGCATAAAGTTTTACATCTCACTATTTGGGTTTTATTTTTATTTATTCCCAAATTGCAATGTTAAATAACTCTTTAATTAGACAACATTTTCAGTAGAAGGCATTAAAAGCTATTTTGGAGCATCCTGTATACGCGTTCGTAAACATGCATTGGTCTTTCTCTGTCGTATGCGTACCGCTGGAGGTGCGTGCGTGCGTGCGTATGTGTGTGTGTGTGCGCGTGCGCGCGTAACCGGTGTACAACGTGGTCCCGTGAGAGGTACCGAATTTAAATTTCAAATTTGGAGCGTGTCGCAGGGTGTGACGGTATGCATAGCGTTGCCCGCCGGCTCTAACTCACTCCACCGATGATGCGTCTTCGTCCCGTTCCCCCGTTTGCCCTTTCCCTATGC